CATATTTGGAATCAGCGTTCCGAGTTGATTCTAAATATATTTGTCTTAGTTCGAAAGGCTAACCCAAGTTAAGTGACTCTCCTTGTTAGTTGCGTACGGATTACGAAATCGGAAATAGTGACTCCCTTCTATCTTTACCGTATACCATCACTTGCTTAAATTGTTCAAGTTGCTTTTCCTTTTGTAAATCTGGAAAATCTCACATATAATCCCCTTCCACTCTCTCAAAAAAATTGTTTCGGATGCTCATACTCAGCTTCGAACGCTGGAACTTTGCTGACTTAGAGGCAGTCTGGGCAAAATTTCGTGCGGGTTTTTTTCCGCTTACTTGGGCTTATCAGTCCCGTGGTTCCGAAAACGGAGCTTAGAGAGCACGAAAACGTCGAGAAGGGACTTTACCAGAAGCCCTTTATTTAAATTTTGACACTTGCCGCCAAAGTAGAGTCGCAGAGCATTGTGGGAACTTTACGTCTTGACTGTGTGCGAATGGGGTGTAAGGTGACAAACCCAACAAACGGACGCTGCCTTTAAAGCTAAGTATGAACACCGCTGAAATGGGCAGACTTCTGCCTGTTTCCGGGAAAACTGAAATTACGAGTTGAATCTGAGGTACTGGTTGTTCTCTCCTGCAAAAAAACAGTATTACGCAGGTGCACTCACTCAGGCAAGAACTAATCTGAGCATTCTATCCAGGTACAGATACCCCAAAATTTGCTGATTAAGGCTGTACGCATTTGATAGATAAGTAGAGATAATTAAAATAATTAGAAAAGATAATTAAACAAACTTATATTTGCTTTCACTTGCTTCACTTAAAGTGCTTTGCAGATTACCCAAGATATTCTGTGAACCTTCTAGTGTTCTTCAAAACTTTAAAGTAGATAGAAAGTCAAATGATAGTTAAACTCAAGGTGCCTTTTTGGTGTTGTGTGAGCATTGTGTATGAGTCATGAAAAGTACGAAACCGCGGCAAAAGCTGTCTTTCTGAGCAAGAACGGCGAATGAGTTGGGTCTAAACTTTATTGCTGGCACAGATTCAATCCACTCATCCATAATCAAGAGCTCGGAAATGTGTCAAAGTAACATGACATGATGCGATCTTTCCTTCCTGACTGAAATGCGTCATTTTTTCTTTGTTTTCACCCATCTAAAAACCCGGAGACTCGTCTGTGTCCTCTAACAATGCTTAGTCTTTCAACGGTTCAAAGTTCTTATCTGGGAAGAAAGGCGAAGCACAAGATCTGCGAAGACAGAGATCCTGCTCTCGCATCACTCGTGGTTCTAATTAAGCAATAGTGGTAAATCGTATCAGACAAGGAGACATTCTGCCATTTTTATTTCGCAGTTTTGATTTTTTAATGTTGTTAAATACCATACTGATAAATTTATCGAAAAATGCACTTTTTCACTTTCTCTGTTCAGTCTGATTTTGAATAGCTTCGTGGTCAAAAAGCTGACGTAGCTGCACCCTGATTATCGAAGTATATTTCATCTGGTTGCAAATTCCGTGGTACCCTTATACGCGGTTTTTCTCGTCCTCCAAGAGCGACCTGTGGAAATCATGAATAATACTTTTGTTGTACTTTGTAATCAATATCTCTACCTCCATGTCTATATCGGGATATATCAGGTCAATTTGAGCAAATCGTTGATTGATCAGCAGCTCTTTGGACAACACACGAGCATTGAGATCGCTGTGCTCGTACCAGTGATGGCGGATATCTAG